ATGTCAGCCTGGGATGTGTTAACAGGGATGCTGGATGCAAGCTGCTGAAGGCAATTGTCCCTTCTACACAGTGCTGATGAGGCTTCACCTGGAGTACTATGCACACTTCTGGGTCCCATATTTAAAGAAAAAATATGGAGAAATTAGTTCAGAAGAGAACCACAAAAATGGTACACATTTGGAAAACCTATGAGGAACCTAAAAAACATGAACATGTTTAGTCTCGAGGAGAGAAGACGAAGGAGAGAGGACCTGACAAGTCCTCAAATAGATAATAGATTAAGAACTGTTATAAAGAGGATGATGATCAATTGTTCTACATATCTACTGAAGGCAGGCCAAAGAGTAATTGACTTAATCTACAGCAAGGAAGATTTAGTTTAGATGTTAGAAAAAATAATCTCTTTAACTATAACGTTATCAGAGTAGTGGAATAAATTCCTGGGATTAGGTTTTTAGGAACAAGTTAGACAAATATTTATCAGGGATAGTCTAGGACAGTGGTTCCCAACCTTTTTGAGCTTACAGACCCCTTTTCAATGTATTAAAATTTCACAGACTCCAAGGGAGAAAAAAAAAGGAAAAGGAAAAGGAAAGAAAAGGATTGGGCACATCACAGTGGGCCCGATCCAAACATTTAAAATTCCCCATGGACCACAGGTTCAGAACCACTGATCCAGGTGATATAGTTCTGCAGTAGCAGTAGCAGCAGTGGGACCCTTTACCTCTGCCCTTTCAGTGGACCTGAGTGATTGGGGAAAAATTTGTGACTGCAGAAGGGTTTTGTGTTGACTGTGGTACATGATCCACTACAGTTGGAGACAGAGCTACTCTTGTCACTGCATGTGGGATGTGAAATGATAGCCTGGTGGTAGCTTCACTTTTCTGCTTTTGCATATTCCCATACAATGTGTTTGGCTGGCAATGAGACATTTTACTCCCTTCTGTTGCTCTGCAGCAGGGTCTGTATTTGAGCCAGTAATAAGGACAGCTACTAAAGAAAGACTCTGGCTCTAATTCACCAAGGGTATAGCATAACTAGGCCTTATCCAGGAAACAGGTTTGACACACTGTCAATGGTGTGTTTGACTATTTCTGTAATCATCACAGTGCGGCTCGATACTGTAAATTCATATTTAAATAGCTACCTCAGAATATATAAATCTTAATACTGTATGTTCAGATAAATAATATAAGCAATTTCTTGGTTAACACAAGACTGATCTTATGCAAATGATGTCAACAAATAGTACAAGTACACTGACAAATTGATTCAATTAGCAATTGTTATTGGGTGTTTTTCATTCCTATTTAGCTTATTTTTCTGTCTAGCAGGGTCAACACTAGGTCAGAATATGATTTAAAATGAGCCTGTGTCTGCAACTGTTGAAACCAGACCCAATTACTGTAGGTCGACTTGCCATTTTCTACATGTTTAATGTCAGTTACCAAAATGCCTGGATCCAAACAAAATGTTCCATTTCAGATGGAGCTCATATACTTGTCAACCAGCAAGCCCTCAGGAAACTGCTTTATATACAGAAAGCTGGCTTCACTGTGAAGGGGATGCATACTTTGTATTTTGTCTAGCATTTTAGTAAATGTAGGAGCAGAATAATAAACTTTAAAGCAGAACTTGCTCACCGAGTTTCCTATACAGTACTGTTCTTTTCCTGTGGCAGATATTACCTGGGTATTACAGTGACAGCATTATGAATAGAGTGGGTCAAATGGTGCTGTCCTTATTCAAGGCTACGTCTAGACTGCAGGCTTTCTGTACAAAAAGCTTTTGTCGGAAGAGAGCTTCTGCAAAAACTTGCGCAAGAGGGCGTCCACGTACAAAAGCGTATCAAAAAAGCAATGCGCTTTTGTGCAAGAGAGTATCCAGACTGCCTGGATGCTCTCTCGCAAGTAAGCTCTGATTGCTATGGACAAAATGGCCACCAGGGCACCTGTGCTTTTTCCTCTTCCATCTTCTTGTGCAAAAACCCCCTCTTCCCTATCCACACACACCTTTTTGCACAAGGGCATTCTTCCTTGTAGAATGAGGATTACCAATTGTGCAAAAACCCCTTTGGTCTTTCGAATTACTTGTACAAAAACACACTTGAGATGTGGATGCTCTGCGAGTTTTTTCAGAAAAACTGCTGTTTTTCCGCAAAAACTCTGTAGTAGACATAGCCTGATCAGTGAAAAAATCCCATGTGAGTTAAATGGAAAATTGTGGCTAAAATAGGCTTAAATACTTCTGGATGGAGAAGTACTGCAGGATCTGGCCTCATGCAATTATGTGGCTGTAAGCGAGGGAGTAAAAATAGAAATATTCCGTTAGCCACTAGAGAGCACAAATACTTCTGATTAAAGAACAGACATTAATGGCAGACCTGAAAGAGGCCATGTGTTACTTTAGCCTGACCAAAGGGTGAAAGTCATATAGCAGTGGCTAGCAGAAGAATTAGGTTGGAAAAATAAAGCAGAAGAAAATCAAATCAGTGTCTCCAGAATGACAGACTGAGCTTTATCAATGCACTGACAACACAGGCACTCTGGCTAGCACAGTGAATATAGCTGCTCTCACAGGGTCCTCCCAATTGACTGTGCCCTTCTCTGCCAACTGGAGAAATAAAGGTTTGGCAGGAAGCTTTGCTGTTAGAAAGGAGCAGGTAACCTAGGCCACTGGTTTGTACTGCTGCCCAACTGCAGCTGCTGTACCAGCCCATGAGCAGAAATGTTATCGGTGTCTCTGTGTTCCCTATGAAGACAGTATTGAGCCATTGGAGTAGCCAGTGTTTTGATACTGTGAATCCTTCCCTGGCAGGTCTCTCCCAGCCAACGAAGGCTAGAATGGAGAGTGTCTTAACCAAGCACAAGGACACAAAAGCACCAATAGGTGCCACTCTAGCCACAGCTGCTTCCCTTTACTAACCCAACTGCAGGGCTCAGTGTTTGGGGACCTGTGTGGGGGAGGGGTTTACTTAACTAACATTCTCCCTGGGTATGTCTACACTACAACGTTAATTCGAACTAACTTAGTTCGAATTAGTTAATTCAAACTAAGCTAATTCAAACTAACGGATCCAGACTAAAAAACTAGTTCGAATTAGCGTTTTGCTAATTCAAACTAGCATGTCCACATTAAGTGGACCTGAACTGGGCTTAAGGATGGCCGGAAGCAGTGCCGGCAGGGCATCAGAGGAGGACTTAGAGCGTGGAGATGCTGTCTCAGGCTAGCCGAGGGCTGTGCTTAAAGGGTCCCGACCCCCACCCCGGACAGACAGTTCTCAGGGGTGCCCCGCTTGCAAAGCAGCCCTGACTTGAAGTGCCCGGAGTACCCACACTGGGCACATCACAGCACTCAGCCATCAGACCAGCTGCACTTGTCGCAGGCTGCCATCTGGGGAGAGGGGCCAATTGGGGGGCTGCAGGAGAGCTTCCACCCCCAGAAACCCACAGAGCCAGCCCAGTCCTCCACATCGGGGGCTCGTGCCCCATTCCTCCCTCACCTCCTTCCACTTACCCTTCCCTAGCCCCTCTTCTTGATGTACAAAATAAAGATAACGTGTGGTCAAAAATAGAATCTGTCTTTATTGAACAAAACTGGGGGAGACTAGGAAAAGGCGGTGGGAGAGGGGAAGAGAGAGGCTGGGAGAGGGGAGGGCAACTAAAATGATCAGGGGTTGGGAACAGGTCCCATATGAAGAGAGGCTAAAGAGACTGGGACTTTTCAGCTTAGAAAAGAGGAGACGGAGGGGGGACAGGATAGAGGTCTCTAAAAGCAGGAGTTGGGTGGAGAGGGTGCATACAGAAAAGTTCTTCATTAGTTCCCATAAAGAAGGACTAGAGGACACCAAAGGAAAGGAATGGGTAGCAGGCTTCAAACTAGTAACAGAAAGTTCTTCTTCACAAAGCAAAGAGTCAACCTGTGGAACTCCTTGCTGCAGGAGGCTGTGAAGGCTAGAACTAGAACAGAGTTTAAAGAGAAGTGAGATAAAGTCATGGAGG